TGTAACACGGATCCAGCCCGGGCGCGGTTTCAGTGAGCGGGAACTACAGTCGCAGAGCGGATCCGGGCCGCGTCCGTGGAAAAGAGCGCGCGTTTTTTTCTGGAGTTCAAATCAAAACATGCATCCAAATGAGAGAGAGAGACCGCGAAGCTAGACGTTTCTTCTTATATTAACTAACATACTCTACGATTAGCTCAGTGAATAATTAAAAAAAAACATAGACCCGGCTAGAACAAGCGGAGTGATACAAAATTGTGAAAGGTTGTTCCTGTAGCGATACCAGTACAATATCTCACGGTTCTCAACCAATCAGATTTGAGAACCAGAACGAACTGTTGTATAATAATCAGTAGTATGATTTGATATAAATAATATCCATAATTATACTTAGTGTAAGTATTCCATGATGACTCTAAGCTGAGTTCAAGCAATATACTTGCGATTTGGATGCTTTTTGCAAGTTAAAATCTCATAATTACAGTAATTCCAACATAAGGTTAATGAACCGTAATTGTCAATTGTCAAATTGCCAAGCAACACTGGAACATCTTTTAGGAATTCCAATGATGTGCCGTCACAGGTGTGCATATATCGCTATACTTTCTATCCTTTAAGAACTATCCTGACTGACAAGGCTGAAATGCTGAGCTAAATGCTATGAGCCGTGATCCACTGTCAGCAAAGTCAGCTCCCTCAGAGGGTGTCTGAGTGCTGATAATCTGGCTTTAGTGACTCTAGACACGATCTCTCGGAGGCTGATGGCTCCACAGATAACTACTACAGCACCTCTTCTGTGTGATTGCCTCTTTATGCTAATGAAGGTGTGCCTAACCTCCCAATGAGACCTTTGATTATCCTGTCTTATGCTGATGGCCTCATAAATATACATGTATCCTTGAGACACAAATCAATGCAAATGAGAGACTAATGTCAAGCACCAAATATGATGTGACAAAAAGCAGCTATGATCAATTGAGCCAATGAGATTGCATATACAGAGCAACGTTTTCTAGCAGGTGCCCTTTTAATAGTGTGTCCCGTGCAAAATTTATACTCATATCTTTACGCAGTCACAGTTGGACAGTACAAACACAACAGGCAGCTGTTTGACGTACATACACATTCACTGAAAATCCTCTCTGTAGCTCCTAAATATCAACTTTGATGCATTATGATCAGTTATGACACAGGCAGGTACCAATTGCATATGCCATCATCAACAGCAAGCCTGTGTTTTGATGTACCAAGAATGTACAAACATCATTATACAATGCAGATATACTATTATAGACTATCACAGCTAACTTTTACAACACTTTGGTCTGCAGGTGCAGTTGTAAAGTGTTTTATAAATAAAGTGAATGAATGAATGAATGAATAAACTACTATTTCAAGTACGGGATATTACAATATATATTATGAAGAGACTTCCATTAAGGCTTATTAGTATTATTATTAGATGTAATAGCTTGCATAGTGTATGCTTAGCCTAGCTCAGGGGTTTTCAACCTTTTAGGACATGCGCCCCCCCAAGTTAGTCTAATTTCACTCGCGCCCCCCCAACATCCAACCCCTCCCCCCGGTATTACTGTAGTCACACCGAATTACTTTATTAACATTAACATAAAAGCAAATATCCATTAAAGCTATTAAAGCAGCGAACAATTTTTCTTTTGCTCTTTTTGATTAACATTATTTACATAAGAAATGCACGGATCCGTTATACTGATGTACATTTGATATTTTCTTTACTGTTTACATTCACTTAAAACAACCGACTGTGCTTACAAGGATACTTGTCAAGACAGCCATTGGTATTCACCTGCTGTCTGAGAAGGCTATCTGTTCACTTCAGGTGTGTGGGCTGTGCGCATAGAAACGCTTTATCACAGTGTGTGAGTACCGCATTGAGATGTCAATTTGGCTTAAATGGCTTAAAATTACTTTAATGTTTAAACTGACAAGACTTAAAACACGTGAGAATGAAAAACTTTCGAGGAAGCAGCACTGGCCTGATCGTTAAGATAGTTTTGGGGGGCTAAGGTGACAGATGGGGGGCTGAAACCCACCTAAAAAGGGTTTAGAACCGCCCCTGGTATAGCGTGCGTAATTATACTGAAACATAAATATATAACCAGTTTACCTGATTCAATGTGATGGCTGAGCCAGTTTCTGAGATAACAACATGCCAATCCGTGGTTGGATTTCCGACACGGCTAATCGTAAATCATCTTACACTGTCAATAAACGTGACCAGGGTTGCCAGGTTTTCACAACAAAACCCGCCTAATTGCTACTCAAAACTACAAAACGCGGCAAGTGTTAAAGTAGCCCAATTCCGCGGGAAAACCGCGGACTTGGCAACACTGAGCGTGACTGATACTCGAGCCAACTCTGCTCTAACTGTCGACTAGCAGTGGGAGTCAGATTGCCCCCTAGTGGATTGCTAAAGATTTGTTAACTCATATTCATAAATTCTCAAGAGAATGTCTCTGAATTAACTGATGCTCGCGCCCCCCTTGACAGGTGCCCCACAGGTTGAAAACCCCTGGCCTAGCTAATTGTAAGCTACTGTATAATCACAACAAATTGCCAAAAATGTTGGATTGATGGATTACCAAACTATTTTAGAATTTCCAATCAGAAAACCCCATAAACTTTTAGTCTGGGGAATCATATCGGGGGTTTTAGTCTCACGTAGCCAGACCTTCAGAGTAACAGCAGAAGGTCTGGGAACCTTGGCCGCTTTGAATGGCCAAGGACTGCCCAAGAGGCCATAAAGCAACCAGTCATATTTCGTTTTGTGCCGTGTCATGTTTAGGGGCATGGAAATGTCCCTTTAGAAATCTAGCGTTTAGTTGATGCTGATAAGTGCTCATCATCACAGTTGTAAATACAATGGCTTTGTTCCTCAATGAGGGGGTTTGGCGCCATGGCGTCTTTGTTTCCAGAGGGAAGGTTACAGAACATGACAAAGACGTATCCTGGAAATTCAGTAGAATTCAACCAATCAGATGATGACTTCAAAACTCCTGAAGTGTTTCCAATTGTATGTGCCATATGCATCAGACGTTCAGCCAACGGTCCGAGGGCTGAGACTGAGTAGGTTTTTTGACAACAGGGTAGGATTTCTGTTTAACACTGACCTCCATCACCTTTCTTGTGTAGTTTATGTAAGCCTGTCTTGTTTGGATATGCATGATATGTCATTTTTTGCTGGGGTGGTGAAGAAGTGAGCTTGGACAGAGTGCTGATCCAGCTGTCAAGTCTGATTTGCCTGGGCTGAGTTGATAGGGAGTGGTGTCATTGCTATACCCCCTTCCTTTACGGCTGCAGTGGTTCCGGAATGATCTCTCTCCCCGGCGCCGCTTAGTGAAGTGATCGGAAACGGACCTGACAGCTGGCTAATGGGTAGATTTGCAGCAGGACTGCATTCGTTACACGCCTTCATGTCTCTTTGTCTTTTGCTCTCACCCTCTTTCATGCCCCTGCTCTGTTGCGCACCTGGTGTTTTTACCACACCTCAGGGTTATAGAGATCACAGCTATCTTAGTGGTTTTGTGATCCCAGAAATCAAATTTGTCTGCGTATCTTCTCTGTATTTCATCTCATTGTGTTTCAACCATACTGTCATTTATCTCTTTTACCTTTCGAAAAGCCCAGAAAATAAATAGCGCTGAATGTCACATAGATCTGCTGTGTGAAACAGTGGCGACATCCTTGATTTGTCCACTCTCATATTTCAAGGCACATGTAGTGTATGAAAATAAAGAAAAGACATCCTTGTCAACTCTAGCATTCTTTTTGAAATTCCATCTTGTGTCCAAGGCCACCACTGCTATTTCATCCCTTGCTATTGATAAGGTTCCAGGTGTGAGGCTTCATGCTCAAATACAACCTGTTTCTTTCTTTTAAGGTTCATATTTACTTTTAAATAGAGTGTCCAATGGTGTATGTGTGCACCAATGGAACATTCTGGGTAAAAACAATAAATATTCAAGGCAGGTTGTGAACTAGCAGTAGCATTCCCAGCTCAAGCCTCTTCTGATAAGAAACTCTGTAGCTCAGAGCCCAGACCCTATTCAAAACGTAATATTCCCCAGACATATCTCTCCTTTCTAACCTAGTCTGAGACAAATGTAGATTACTAAAATAAGATGGATTTTCGGTGTTAGTCATTTCAGTTTAACAGGCCCTGTGATGGCCACCCTATGGCCCGAGAGGATGGGATAGGTTCCAGCATCCCTACAACCCTATTTAGAACAAACGATTCGGAAAATAGATGGATGGATAGAAGGTGGCAGGCAAAGGCAAATCTGTTCTGACTGACCACATGGGTACTCAAAATCTAATAATTTCTGAAAGTGTTAGTTGAGGGTGATTTACCTTTGGATTTTGAGCCAAACAGTTCCCAGAGAATGTCCTTTTTGTAAGGACACAAGCTATGAAAAAATCTAAAGGGTGTGTGTATAGCAATATCAAAGTTTTGGCTGTGTAAAAGTCTAGACAAAGTTCTCATGCACTACAATATGGGTTATTCTTGTTCTGCAAGGTCCTATCACAGTTTGGCTGTCTTGACTATATTTTCACCCGCTATGTCCACAAATTATTTAATCAAAAGTTTATTCAAAAAGAATGTTTGGAGTGAGTGAAACAGTTTTTTTAACGCCTAAACCATAAATGCAGTCTAATTAACACAACTGTTAATGCACAGTTTAATACATGTACTTCAGTGTTTCTTTTTTTACTGTGGGGTAATTGCTTTCACTGTTGTATACAGTGTATTGGCATTTATTGGCAAATTTTATTAAGAGTCTCTGCATGAAAGGCAGTCGGGGACTTAAAAATTGGTTTGTCTCAGCATGTCATGATATTTAGCAATATGTAGTAAGTCTTGTTATTGATTTAATTTCATGCTGTCATCTCTTTCTGTGGATATTTGTCTGTGCTTGTCATAATGTTGCCTTATCTGACCTTGTTTCATATCTCTTTCTTTGCAGATCGAAATGTTAGAGCACAAATATGGGGGCCACCTCATCTCACGCCGTGCTGCTTGCAAGATCCAGACGGCTTTTCGCCAGTATCAGCTCAGCAAAAACTTTGAGAAGATCCGAAACTCCCTCCTCGAAAGTCGTTTGCCACGCCGTATCTCCCTGCGAAAAGTGCGGGTGCAAAATACAGAGGGTATCTCAGCTGAACGGGCGCTGGCTGAAGGCTGCAATCTGGCAAGTATCCCCCTTGTCCGGTCCCCATCCTTGCCCACCACGGTAGGTGGCTCCCTCACTGACCTCGAAGATTCCTTCAATGAGCAAGTCCAGTCTCTTGCCAAATCCATTGATGATGCACTTAGTAACTGGAGCATGAAGACCATGTGTTCACTCCAAGAAGGTGGCACCTACCAGTTTAGCTCAGAGGCCTTTAGTACAGCTGGTGGCAAATCTGGGTTGGCAGGAACAGTCCGAGAAGGTGGCCCCATGGACCCTGCCACATTCCAAGTAGGAAATTCTGAAGTAGACAATTCTGAGAACAGCAAGCGGAGTGCCAGCAAGCTGATGATGGCCTTCCGGGATGTGACCGTTCAAATTGACAACAAGAATTTTCATGTGTCCTCTTCCGTTTTGGAGTCCTCCACCTCTGTTTCTCTTGGTAATTGTGTCCAGCAGGGGGCCATAATTACTGAGAGCCCACAGCAACCTCCGGTCAGTGATGCAAAGGAACAACCTCAACAAGGACAACCACCACCATCTCCACAGGATCCAGCTCCTCCACCCCTAGAGCAGGATGCTGAGGAAATACCAGATGGCGATTTCCCAGCTCCTCCACCAAGTGAGGAGGAGCTTGGGGAGGATCTTACACCTCTGGTCTTGGAGAAACAGGAAGTTCCAGAACCAGCAATTCCGGTAGAGACAGCAATAACCTCTGAAACCTTTTTTAACGCCTAAACCATAAATGCAGTCTAATTAACACAACTGTTAATGCACAGTTTAATACATGTACTTCAGTGTTTCTTTTTTTACTGTGGGGTAATTGCTTTCACTGTTGTATACAGTGTATTGGCATTTATTGGCAAATTTTATTAAGAGTCTCTGCATGAAAGGCAGTCGGGGACTTAAAAATTGGTTTGTCTCAGCATGTCATGATATTTAGCAATATGTAGTAAGTCTTGTTATTGATTTAATTTCATGCTGTCATCTCTTACTGTGGGTTTTTGTCTCTGCTTGTCATAATGTTGCCTTATCTGACCTTGTTTCATATCTCTTTCTTTGCAGATCGAAATGTTAGAGCACAAATATGGGGGCCACCTCATCTCACGCCGTGCTGCTTGCAAGATCCAGACGGCTTTTCGCCAGTATCAGCTCAGCAAAAACTTTGAGAAGATCCGAAACTCCCTCCTCGAAAGTCGTTTGCCACGCCGTATCTCCCTGCGAAAAGTGCGGGTGCAAAATACAGAGGGTATCTCAGCTGAACGGGCGCTGGCTGAAGGCTGCAATCTGGCAAGTATCCCCCTTGTCCGGTCCCCATCCTTGCCCACCACGGTAGGTGGCTCCCTCACTGACCTCGAAGATTCCTTCAATGAGCAAGTCCAGTCTCTTGCCAAATCCATTGATGATGCACTTAGTAACTGGAGCATGAAGACCATGTGTTCACTCCAAGAAGGTGGCACCTACCAGTTTAGCTCAGAGGCCTTTAGTACAGCTGGTGGCAAATCTGGGTTGGCAGGAACAGTCCAAGAAGGTGGCCCCATGGACCCTGGAACAGGCCAAGTAGACAATTCTGAGAACGTGGCCCGGAGTGCCAGCAAGCTGATGATGGCCTTCCGGGATGTGACAGTTCAAATTGACAGCAAGAACTTTCACATGTCCTCTTCCGTTATGGAGTCCTCCACCTCTGTTTCTCTCGGTAATTGTGTCCAGCAGGGGGCCATAATTACTGAGAGCCCACAGCAACCTCCGGTCAGTGATGCAAAGGAACAACCTCAACAAGGACAACCACCACCATCTCCACAGGATCCAGCTCCTCCACCCCTAGAGCAGGATGCTGAGGAAATACCAGATGGCGATTTCCCAGCTCCTCCACCAAGTGAGGAGGAGCTTGGGGAGGATCTTACACCTCTGGTCTTGGAGAAACAGGAAGTTCCAGAACCAGCAATTCCGGTAGAGACAGCAATAACCTCTGAAACCTTGTCTCCACCAGAGGTTGCAGAGACGCCAGTCACCCCAATTGTAGAGGTTTTGGAAGCTAAGCGAATTGAGTCAGACACAGCGGACAACAGCTCAGAGCAGATGAGTAGCAGCAGTACATCCACATCAGCTCAATCGGCTTCTGAGGTCTCGTCCAAAGAGGCTTTACAGGCTATGATTCTTAGCTTGCCCCGATACCACTGCGAAAACCCAACCAGTTGCAAATCTCCTACCCTCTCCACTGACGTCATGCGAAAACGCCTATATCGTATTGGCCTGAACCTCTTCAACATGTGAGTACCCAGAGAACCTCTTATCTCCAGTTGATTGTTATGGTGGCAGAACTCTTTACATCACACTTGCTTGAAGTGACTAATGCCAGATATTTTAAGCTATAAAACCCTTTTCTCTCTCATTTTATCAAGCTGTCCTCACCTGCCATTATTATAGCTGCATGAGGGCTGCTCTTCAAAACTTCACCAAATTCTAGTCTCTCTCTGTCTCTGTCTCGCTTCCCTGTCTCACTCCTGTCATCTTGTTCTGTCTCCAGCTGTGGCTAACACCCCCTCCCTGATGCCTGTCACCTTGGGTTTGTCTGACCCTATTAATAGCACTGCTTTTATTTAAAGTGCTGTCTCACTCCCTTTTCCTTAATCTCATCTTGCTCCATTGCAAACATAAAGACATTTTAAAAGTAGTACTAGTTGTCTAATTAATAGCACACTACAATAATGAGACTATTAGGTTTATCTGGGTTGTGTGCATAAGGAAGAGAGATATATACGAGGAAAATGAAAGGGGGAACATATTATATCTGTCCGTTTTCTAAGTTTCCACCATTTCTGGATGGGGATTCTATAGCCCCTCAAAATGTATTGTACAGTTTTTGCTTCCACATTTGGTCTTCAGCATCACTCTTCAGATAATGAGCTTGCCATAAATACCATTTCAATAATGGTTTGCATTTTGACACTAAATAGCAGTGCTTTCTAAACCTGTCCTAAAGGCTCACATTTGGATGTCTCTGTTTACTGTTTACATTTACTGACACAACCATTTCAAGTCTTACAGTCTCTAATGAGCTGATGAGTTGAATCAGGTGTGTCAGATAAGGGAAAGCAATCGGTTTCCTTGTCATAATGTCCCAAGAATACCACTTAAATGGTGACTACCAACTATTCAGAGTTATAAAGTGTAATTACTGCTTTCAGCTACTGTATGTTGAATATTACTATTTTGATATTTATTTTGAAGTAAGCAGGGTAAGCAGGGTAAGATCACTGCATTATAGATAAAGATATAGCAGGGTAAGATCACTGCATTGTTGACTGTTATACCTAATTATACATTGCAGTTCTCTCCACTGTGTATGTATTTTTTGATCCAAATGGCTAATTTGCTCAAGCTCATTTCACAGAGGCCTAATCTGAAACATGTTTCCTTGAGATTTCATTTTTTAATACAGGACCAGTTTGTTCCTTTATTCATACATAATGGATTTGATAAGGATTAGATAACATCAAGATCATGTCGGTTTACTAGCAAGGAACATAATTTCTAAAATTCATGCATGACTGCAATATGGCAATCTCCCCGAAGGCATTCAAATGTTATTTTGCTGCACCCCTAAATCACAATAAGTGTCTGATTTGAAATAATCTTGTGTAACTTGCATATAGAGTAAATTCAAGTAAAATTGGACAGTTTTTTTTTTAGATCAATGTATTACGTAAACACAAATATTTATGTATATTATATTATATATTATAACATATAAATTTTTCCTCAACACTTTTTGAATATTAAATTCATTTAATGTTTATTTTAGTTCAATTTTTTTTTAGATCAATGTATTACGTAAACACAAATATTTATGTATATTATAACATATACATTTTTCCTCAACACTTTTTGAATATTAAATTCATTTAATGTTTATTTTAGTTCAATCATTTTGGTTTGTTTTGTTTTTAATTTTTTTTAGCTGTGTTTATTAATTGCACATTGTTTATCATGCACTAATTTGCATATTCCATCAAGATGTCTCTTTCTTTTTCTATTTGCTTCTTATAAATCAGTTATATTTGCATTCCAAAGAACTGTCCACTCCTGTAACTATCCTATCACCCAGGTGCATCTTTCCAACAAGGACATCTGTTTTTGAAAGCTGGAGAAATGCAACTCCACTTTACAAATCCTGTTGGCTTTATTTCTGCAGTGTCACATCGCTGCCAATTAAAATTCTGCTCCCGCATGTCTATTCTCTATGTTCAGCCAAGAGTGACTGAGGCAGAGTTTGATAAGAGCTCTCTATACGCGAAACATAACAGAGGTGCATGATGGGAAAGGTTGAATCAGGACTGTGCTGGACTATGCATCATAAACATAACAGATTAAGGTCAGAAACTTTCTGCAAATGCTGATCCTTATGCTGATTAACACATTGTAAATGTACGTAGTTGGCGGCAACAAATCTCAGCACTTAAGGGGTTAATAGGTTAATAGAGTTTCAATCGTCTGTTCCATTAAATCGAATGTGTTAGGATTCACATAGCTAAAACATGCTGACATTTTAAAGAAGTGTGATTCAGCAAGATTATTCTCAAACTATTGCTTCTCCATGACAGTAATTATCCTGAAAGACAAAACTAATTGTAGATGAACAGTTCGCTATTACACAAAATGGCATCCCTTGCTAAAAATGCAGCATATTGAATTGTGTTTTGACACATTTTGAATTGCAACAGTATGGGCAGTTAAGTATATTTCGCGCCCAAATATTCTTGTTTTTCAACTAGGGCAACGAATCAATTCGATTTCTGTTTTCTCAAGGCTGATATACACAGTAAACATTATTGAACTAAAATCCAGTCACAAGTATTGCCAATATATTGTATCCAACAAGTTTGATAATTATTCTCCATAGATTAGTTGTTTTGGTTCCACTTTATGCCTATTAGGCGTATTTAACTACTACATATGTATGAATGAAAATGAATGAATGAATGAATGAATGAATCAATCAATCAATGAATGAATGAATGAATCAATGAATCAATCAATCAATCAATCAATCAATCAAGGTATTTTTAGTATTTTTATTAAATATAATCACAAGGTAAAAACATGGATGCACACAATAAGCACAATGCATCAAATGATGTTAGTGCAGAGTGGTTAAAGACACTTCATATAAAGTAGATCCTTTTCTCTGCTTCCTATTGTACAGTCTCTTTTAAAAGAAAATTAAATATTCCACTCCAATAATTGAAGAAATAAATGACTTTTACCCTTACTTCTACATTTACTACCCTATGCAATGGCACTTCAGTGCCATTTGTAGTTCCTTTAAAATGAGAGAAATATTCTGAAGTTAGAGGGCCTAATTAAAAGTTCTTAATCAGCTATAAAAAAGCCATTGGGGGAATGTGGCTTTAAAAAGTTAAAATCTTATTCAGATGGAAGCAGTGGTTTTCTGTAGTATATTAAACTATCCAAGATCTCCATGTGCTAGCTTCTGTTTAGTTGCCCTTTCATTGCTGTTACAGTGTCCAAGCTGAAATGCATTGTTCCTACCTCTTAATGGATGCTTTTTGTACTGAAATTAATCATGTGTGTGTGACAGCAGAGACAAATAAAAGTAGAAAAGTCACGAGTCACGATGAACTAAAATCCAGTCACAAGTATTGCCAATATATTGTATCCAACAAGTTTGATAATTATTCTAGGTAGGTTAGTTGTTTTGGTTCCACTTTATGCCTATTAGGCGTATTTGACTACTACATATGTATGAATGAAAATGAATGAATGAATGAATGAATGAATGAATGAATGAATGAATCAATGAATCAATCAATCAATCAATCAATCAATCAATCAATCAATCAATCAGGTATTTTTAGTATTTTTATTAAATATAATCACAAGGTAAAAACATGGATGCACACAATAAGCACAATGCATCAAATTATTTAAATGTTAGTGCAGAGTGGTTAAAGACACTTCATATAAAGTAGATCCTTTTCTCTGCTTCCTATTGTACAGTCTCTTTTAAAAGAAAATTAAATATTCCACTCCAATAATTGAAGAAATAAATGACTTTTACCCTTACTTCTACATTTACTACCCTATGCAATGGCACTTCAGTGCCATTTGTAGTTCCTTTAAAATGAGAGAAATATTCTGAAGTTAGAGGGCCTAATTAAAAGTTCTTAATCAGCTATAAAAAAGCCATTGGGGGAATGTGGCTTTAAAAAGTTAAAATCTTATTCAGATGGAAGCAGTGGTTTTCTGTAGTATATTAAACTATCCAAGATCTCCATGTGCTAGCTTCTGTTTAGTTGCCCTTTCATTGCTGTTACAGTGTCCAAGCTGAAATGCATTGTTCCTACCTCTTAATGGATGCTTTTTGTACTGAAATTAATCATGTGTGTGTGACAGCAGAGACAAATAAAAGTAGAAAAGTCACGAGTCACGAGCGACTGGTAAAAAAAAAAAAAAAAGCTTCAAAAATACATTTGCAGAAAGCATCTAACAGCATGTTCCTGACTTGGTAACTTACATAATGGACAAATAGGCTTGCGTTTACGCACAGCGGCTCTTTATCCATCTTGCGAAAGGGAAGGTGCAAGGTCTACTCATTTATTTCCCACCTTCACCAAGTGAAACCTTCTTTGCCCTGTGTTGATGGCGACAATATTCACGGTAGAATGTAACAGAAGGGATTCATCTGTTTTATAGGGCTGAGTGAATGTATGTGTGCACTTGATTATGAATCAGCTGGGAGGGCGATGCCGGCTGCCAAGCTGAGTGGGAGGCTGTTTATTTTCCACCCGCTCATCAGATTTCCTTTAAATAAAGGAAAGTACACAGTGAGAATTTTGAACATATGGTTAAATCCCTCAAATGACTCAGCTTCATCTGTCATTCAAGGATTAGTTCACCCAAAAATGAAAATATTGTCATCGTTAAATCAGCCTCATGTTGTTCAAAATCCATATGACTTTCTTTCTTGATTCGGCAAGAATCAAGCTCGGGTGAGGCTTAAATCAAAAGTATGTCTAAATTAATTGAAAAGCCAGATTTAACATTGCATCTAGAGTGCACATATAACAAATTGGTGTTGTATTATTCCTACTTTTTATATATATATATGTAACACTGACCCTTTGTAGAGGTTACATCTTAGGTCAGTAGTTGACAACAAGTGAGTCATTTGATCATTCACTTAACCAATGTGAGTGAATATAGAGACAGTCGTTCATTAACATATCTAAACATGCTTGGATTTCTAAAACATCCATAACGCAGTACATCAAAAAAGAGTTTTTCCAACACTATCTCACAAACCAATTCGTATGTATTTTACAAGGTGGCTAATTCGTATGAATTCATATGTCCTCACTAATACGATTTTGTACGATTTGTCTAAACCCCGGTGACGGATAGGCTTAGGGCTGGGGTTGGGTGTAGGTCATTCGTACAAATTCATACGAATTGTGCAACTCGTAAAATACGTACGATTTAGCAAAAATCTTATGAATTTGTATGAGTGAGGTCGTACGCATTCGTACGAATTAGCCACCTCGTAAAATATGTACGAATTGCCGTGAGATCGGGCTGGTTTTTCTTTGATTTATCTTAATTTGGGGGCTTTTCTCATCAAATACAGATATCCGTGATTTCTTTGATTAAACTTGCAGCTGATTCAATTAATTTGATTAAATCTGCTAATTAATCGACAGCCCTACTTTTAACATTATCAAAAAAAGCAAAATAAAAATAAACCAGTCTGTCCTTTACTCAGACTTCATCGCCTCAAACACCCCGACAGATAAGGATAAGGCAATTTTTAATCAAATGGAGGTTTTGCTCCAAGAGAGTGAGTGAAAAGAGAGAGGGGTTGTCATTAGTTCCAGCAGTTCATTTTCTGCAGGGTAGCCTTAATACCTGTGACAGCTCAGACTGAATCTAAAGCAGGTGTGTGTGTGTGTGAGCCAAGATGCCGAAATCTGAGTTTGGATTAACAGAGAGATTTGGGGACCAGAATGTGCTTTCCCTAAACAGATAATTAAGAAAAGAGGAGGATTGTGGGGGCTTTATGAGCCTGTATTTGTTGGAAAGAGCATGTCAAGGACATATAGAGGACACTGATGTGTGAACGAAGGACGGTTGGTAAGCAGAGTGAGTATAACGCTCTAAATTGAGTTTTCACCTGCCTCGTGAACAGAATGAGAATGTTTCTTTTCCCCAAAAGAGAAGAAAACAGCAGGTGAGAGGAGAAAAGAAAGCGAGGAGATTGTGTGTGGGATTCAACATAGATGTTAGATTCTGTTTATGTGTAAATATAGGAGACTGGCCATGACCGTAAGGTGCCTTCAAAAAGCTGTGCTCCATCTGTCATGTAAGTGTCATGTTTTATGCAGGACTTATACCTGCAGTTCACCTGCCCCCTTTTTTCTTACAATACCAGAATAGAACCAGAGCATAGATGTTAGTTGAGTGTCAGGTGAACTTTATGTAGCTACTTGTCGCAAAAGCTCTTTCTGTCTATCTGGATGTGAAGATAGGCATTTCTTCAACTGGAAGCACTTTTGGCCCTGTGTACTTTTAGAAATGCAATCCCTTAAAACATATTATTCACACCTTCACTGGTTTATTTAATGGCAGTGTCTTTTCACACTAAGTGCAAACAGCCAACCTTGTTGCCAAAGGCTATTTTTGCTCCAAGCCATCTTTGCTCAGACAGTTTACCCTTAGTACAAACAGCATATTACTTCTACAAATACAGTATTTTATGTGAATCGCATTTATCACTATTTGCACTTAATGTAAACAAGATTCAATTTGTTTATATTTACATTTATTCTATCAATCGCTTCAGCATCTATCTGCTATTGCAAAAGAGCATCTACCTTGTTTTGCATTTATTGTAAATAGTGTCATTTGTAATAATAACATATGGTGGACATGTCTTTTTATGACATTTTTTTTATATATAAAATGGGAGACTCCTTTGTTTTGGTAAGCATTTGGTTAGGAGATTATGCATCCTTAATACACACAACTGAATTATATTTTCACCCTTGGTGCATAATTGCAGCTTTATTGGAGCACAATAAGAATCCACAATAAGAAGTCATGTAATTATGCATAATTTATTGTTATTATAATATTAAGTACATGTAATGTGTAACAAGGACACCTTAAAATAAAGTGTTACCGGATTTGGATAAATTCCACACAATAAATGCTAAATGTTTATCATTCGTTATGGATTTTCATCTTTTAAGATCTGATGATCAGATGTTTAGCTTTTGTGTTGAAATATTTTATTAGCTCACTAAAAGCAAAGCTTCCGTGTAAAAAACAGTTGATATCGAGTGGCTTTAACCCAAGACAAATAAACAAGTTTAAATTAGGCAAACATTTAAGGGATAAGGCACAGTCATACCACTTTTTTTCACTGCTTTTCACCACATAAATAATTATAGGGACAAGAGATATTGACTGTTTTAAAATCTTAAATCCATTGCAGTGTAGAAAACAATCATCCTGCATATCAAAAAAAGATGAAAACAGCATATTTTAATAAATCTGAAGTATTATTAATACTGAAGTCAATTGATAACTATCACAGAGACACAAGATCGTAGGCAGTGGTTGAGTTTGCATGAAACAAAAGAGAGTGAGTCTGCGATGCCCGGATGAGCGGAATATTATTCAGCACTGTTATTAAACCAATTAGCAGCATTTGTATAATAGTTTTCTGCTAGAATTACAACCATTTAAAAAAAAAAAAACGGTGCACATTAGAGATGTTTTATGGCCATTTAACTTGTTTAAGAATGAGCCCATCGTTACACTGTTTTTCCATCACGATAAATAGACCAAATAAAAACAGCACAACCTATTCAGAACCACATATCACACTATTGCATTTCATTTCAATTTCTTTAAAATAAAACATAGTGACAGGCATTTTATTGTAACTGACAAACAGGCTGTTCATAAACTACATTATGTTCCCCTCAGTAAAGCTAGACAGTAACGTCAGGGGTTGTACATTTATTATGAGGAGTAAATCATTGCAATGAATAGGGAAGATAGAGTGGAATAGGGAGATTGTAGAATGCAGTCAGGCAAACCAGAAATACACGGTTCTCTCAGCATGTGGATGAATGAAAGTTTAGTGGACCCTCTATAAATCCATGTACTTTTTTCTCCCAGGGCAAAGACTTAGCAATGAGAATGCTGACTGAAGGAATAAAGCAACTCTATAAAGTACAGCCGAGAAGCTTCTTTCTGTCCCCCGTTGTCACTTTTATTGTCTGAAGGCAGGAAAGCGTTGACATTCTGGTTATTGATAAGCCACTGCATAGAAAAATTGTGGTTATTAATACCCACTTGGCTTCTGTGGAATGAGAAAATGTCTGAGGGACTGTATGAGATTGAAACTCCTTTAACAAGAGACACATAAAGCATTTTTTTTTCAAGTGTCATGTATATATTTTACATCTTTATATCCAATAATAACAACAAAACATTTAAAAAAAAATGTAAATAAATTTTTTTTTTGCTTTGGAACACATCATTTTTTGAAAATAATATTGGTGTTGGCATAGAAAAATTGTGGTTATTAATACCCACTTGGCTTCTGTGGAATGAGAAAATGTCTGAGGGACTGTATGAGATTGAAACTCCTTTAACAAGAGACACATAAAGCATTTTTTTTTTCAAGTGTCATGTATATATTTTACATCTTTATATCCAATAATAACAACAAAACATTTAAAAAAAAATGAAAGAAAAAATGTTTTTTCCTTTGGAACACATCATTTTTTGAAAATAATATTGGTGTTGTATAATAAGTATTGGACCTGTCAAGCTCCTAAATGACAATAAACACCATAGCATGATAGAATTATAACTGATGCACTATTTTGCCCATCTTGTGAAGTCATACAATAGCTTTGTGTAGTGACTAAAACAATCCGCTTATAATCGTTCTCTTTTAGATCAAATTATGGTGTCTTTGACAAAAAAAATGCAATTTTGACTAGTGAATTTGAATAGTCAATTTTGACTAAAATTCATTTGACTAGTGGCTTGTTTTTTTAACTTTGCCATCAAACAGAATCGCAAAAATCTGCTAGATTTTTTTTACTTTTTCTGGTACAATCCAATGCAATTACAATACAAATCCTGTTGTAATATTATAATATTAATATTGTAAGTTAATGCCTATCCAATACTGTATGTACTTGGGTTCAAGTTTTAACAGTGCTGCTGACAGTTTTTCTCTCTCTGTTTATCTCTTTCTCTGTGCATCAAACAGAAATCCAGACAAAGGCCTCCAGTTTCTCATCTCTCGTGGGTTCATTCCGGATACACCTATAGGTGTGGCACACTTCCTGCTCCAGAGGAAGGGGCTGAGCCGACAGATGATCGGCGAGTTTCTTGGCAACAGCAAGAAGCCGTTTAACAGAGATGTGTTAGAGTGAGTATATGAAAATGCCTCTTAGTATCCATAGCTTAAATAAGAGCAATGAGAATCTGTAACTGTGTGCGAAAAAGAGAACAATATCATAAAAGAGAGAATATTTACACTTTTAAATGGAAGAATTTTTTTTTTTTTTTTCTCCGTGGATTTGGAGAGTCATGGCATCTTTTAATGAGATCTCCCTTGGCTGCTGAGCTCTGCAGAGCTTTGCACTTGGAAATGATACACTCTTGAGGCCTCTTAGCAGAGTCAGTGTGTGTGTGTGTGTGTGTGTGTGTATACAGTGCAGTACATTTTGAAGTGATGCATCTTCTAGATTTAAAGAGACAGTTCACCTAAAAATGAAAATTCTGTGATGTTTTACTCACCAACATCTATCCACATTCTTCAAGATATCTTCCTTTATGTTCAACAGAAGAAATAAACTCATACAGGTTTGGAACAGCTTCAGGGTGAGTAAATGATGACAGAATTTTCATTTTAGGGTAAACTATCCCTTTAAATGTGTAAATGCATCCACACTTATATTAGGCCCTATGTGTACTTTAAGGTATCTTCAGAGACAAAAGAATGAATGGATGGATGGATGGATGGATGGATGGATGGATGGATGGATGGATGGATGGATGGATGGATGGATGGATGGATGGATGGATGGATGGATGGATGGATGAATGAATGAATGAATGAATGAATGAATGAATGAATGAATGAATGAATGAATGAAAGCACATAACAAAATGACTAAAACTAAAATTAAAAGTATAAACAATAAAAGCTTATTCAAATTTGTATGTTTATTTTTAATAAGTACTATTTATTTTTAATAAGTACTATTTATATATAAATAATACTAAAATAACATTGGCCATTATATGATTATTATATTATTCTTTGGGATGGCACAATAAAGCGACGTTCACTTGCAGAACGCAAGCTTCTAGAGGGCATATAAGTCTGAAGTAATGAATTTAGGTAAAGGGGTGCAGAGCAAGTGCTGGTTTTGTAGGCAAACATCAATGCTTTGAATAATTTAAAAGTCCGTAAAAGTGATTTTGTGCTTCTTTGGGATGGCACAATAAAGCGACGTTCACTTGCAGAACGCAAGCTTCTAGAGGGCATATAAGTCTGAAGTAATGAATTTAGGTAAAGGGGTGCAGAGCAAGTGCTGGTTTTGTAGGCAAACATCAATGCTTTGAATTTTATGCGAGCAGCTATTGGTAGCCAGTGCAAATTGATAAACAGGGGTGTGACGTGCATTCTTTTTGGCTCGTTAAACATTAATCTTGCTGCTGCGTTCTGGATTAATTGTAAAGGTTTGATAGAACTGGCTGGAAGACCTGCCAAGAGAACATTGCAATAGTCCAGCCTGGACAGAACAAGAGCCAACTGAGAGCAAGGCAGTCTTGGTTGAATGTCCACTTCTGAAACCAGACTGGTTGCTGTCAAGGAGGTTGTTCTGTGTGAGAAAGGCAGAGACTTGGTTGAACACAGCTCGTTCAAGTGTTTTTGCAATGAAATGAAGAAGGGAAACCGGTCTGTAGTTCTCTAAAAGAGATGGGTTAAGGGTGGGTTTCTTAAGTAGTGGGGTTATACGAGCCTGTCTAAATGTTGAGGGAGAAACACCAGTGTGAAGGGATATGTATGAATATGAATATGAATATGTATATGAATGTTACATTTGTGGATGCACCAAAAGTATGCAAAGGTCTTCGATCTTTAAAAGTAAAGAAATAACTCCTCCCTGACATATTTTGGAGCATTTGGGAGCTTTATTATTTTCCTGTAGAGCCCTGGAAAGGTCTTTCAAATACTCCCCAGAAAGCTTTATAATGCTGTGGTAATCCATCAATCCCTAGTGCTTGTAATTTTTTTTTTCTGTTCTGCCCAACATCTCCACAAAAGCTTGCTTTTTTTTTTTTTTTTTTTGCAAAGGTCAAGGTGTGTGTAGGCTTAATATTAAAATGTCAGTAGAAGAAAAGAATTTTAAAGTTATATGTGCCATGATACAGTAATGATCATAGAGATAGAGAGAGAGAGAGAAAATACATACTCATATATATGAGTATTACCACACATGCATTTGATATAACTCCCTAATTCCCCAACAGTATTTCTCTTTGTTTCATCTGACAATGCATTTATCAGCTCCAGGAAGCCGCAATAGGCAAAATTTGACTAGGTTCAGGCTAATTATAACTTCAAATCATTATTCTCCAGTTTTTCATCACTTTCATGCACAACAAACACTTTTCTGGAGTTAATAAATTCTAAAATCAAACGTATGCTACTTTACTAACTAATATTGGCGTAAAACAAAAGAAAGCATGTGGTATTTACTAATTTCATTCACCATAGAGCTTTACATTTAGTTTAAAAATTGGTGATTTGGGAATATTAACAACAGTATTACCAAGAAAACTAATAAAACACATTGCCCTTGGCTGGAAAACATTAGTATCATTAATAAGCAATTTTAAACCAAACATTTAGGCATAAAAATAAACTGTACAGCTCATTTTAGGTAAAGACTTCACTTCTACTGCTTTAAGACGTGAGCTATAACATGCAACACAACAAATGAAAGACTCTCTGCTGTAGCCAAAAACAGAATATCATGAATATTTCATGCCGATATGATAAATGGACACTAATATTTTTATTTCCCTCAAGTCAAGTCAAGCCTTTGCATATTAAAACAAATGCCATTGCTATTAAATTTGCTTTGGTACACACATAAAGGGGAAGGAAAGAAAAAAAAAGACTTCATGTTTTAAAAAAGCACTAAATAAACCATCAATCTAGATTCCTTCTTTGGATCTCCTGACTCAGAAGGCAACCTGTCTATCAGTTTCTACTGTTTTCCAGAAGACAAGCTTTGTTCTTCAGTGGCTTGTTTCTTATTTGGACAAGCAGAGCATTTATTCCCAGTATCCCCAAATTATAACAGAGCAAACACTCCAAGCTTGCATGCACCTCTCTCCAGAGCGAGAGAGGCAATATTGCCCACGCAATGTTAGATGCCGTAGCTCCTTGACAAAGTCATGCAAAGCAAGGCATGGAAACCCATTCTATTACTAGAGTAAAGTATAAATTGTTTTTTATGCATAAACGAAGGTCCACATACACCAAATTAGTACATGCGTATTGTACACGCACTGCTCGATTTTTGTAATCGCTGGTACTTTGTATGCCCAGGTAGCTCATGCACATTTAATTTGTTTTGCACTAATCTGTTGTTCCACAAGGTGGCAGCAACAAAAACAGACACCCACATTGACAAGCACTTGTGTAAGTGGGTTATTAGATAACCACAACCTTAGTTTAAAAGAGTACAAAGACATTTTTATCAGTCATAACTCCTGGAGAAAAATAGCGCAGACACTGGACAAAGATGAAACATGTTATAGCACGTGTCGACCACTTGTGTTCATGCATGCTATCAAATGGAGTATATTTTGAAAGGCAAGGGGTTTGACTGTATGCAGCATAGCATATGCAAAAAAACGAAGTATATTTTGAGCTTTAATCAATCATGTGAGTGCCCAGATTAAATGACAGGAGAGTTTTACACAAAAGAGTTAAAAAGAAAAGTAAAAAAAAAGAATAAACAAGACGTTCACTCCCAGCATGCATCACCTTATATTACATAGTACATTCTTGTGTAAAGTACACTGTAATTGCACATAAAATATGGTAACACTTTATTTTAAGGTGACCTTGTTACACGTTACATGTACTTACTATTCTAATAACAATAAATTATGCATAATTACATGCAAGTAACCCTAAACCAAACCCTAACCCTACAGTAAGTACATGTAGTTAATTAATATTACTCAGTACTTAAATGTAGTATTACACTGTGACAAGGACACCTTAAAATAAAGTGTCACCTAAAATATTGTTCAACTATGAAAGTGAATGGTGATCAGGGGCTGTCAAGTTCAAGAAATAAATAATCCTGCATACTTTCTAAAAGGTTAGTTTGCAGAAATACACCCGACAAGTTGACAGATTTCATATAACATGTCCAAAAAGAAGCACTAGCAGGAGCAGAAAGAAAATGAATTATTGTTTCTTGTCAGATTATACAAAATTACCCCCGTGAGATCTTGGTTAGAAACCACTGCAGACTGCGCAACATCAACAGTATTTTGTCAAAGATGTCAACATGTCAAACGGTTTGATAAACATCTAAAATTTTAGTAACGATTGAGGGTGTTGACTAGGTGATCAATCGTGTCACATTCTGACATCCTTATTGACACTCAAACTGAAATTATACACATCTAAAGTACCTATAGGTTCCTAATAGTGTCTACTTGTAGCAGTCAAAAATTAAGATTTGCAAAGTTAATTAATTGCACATTAGTGAGCTTGCGAAAAGAAAAAAAAACTGTACCAGCCATATGGTCATGGTGCATACAGTAAAAAACTTTACCAGCATGCTACCATGCACAAATCTCCTCACATGCTAAATGCCAAAAAGTGACTGAAGGTGTTGAACGAATGGATTTTCTGTAAATTGCTGCAAGCATTGAAGGTCATGTGATCAAGGCAGTGAAATTACAAAATAAAATATCCCCTCACTATCAAAGACCAGACTGCTGATCAGCTGGAGGCCCCTGGCATTCAGAAGCTCTTCAGGAACGTATCCCATTAGCCCAGACCGTAATGCATCCTTAGGAACAAGCTGTGATGTACAGTAATCTTCAGCAGAATAACACGCAGGAGGTAATGTGCTACTGGGAAACCTGAATAGGTCTACTGGGGGAAAACATCCCCCTATCACCTTAAGGTTTAATGTGCTGGAAGGGAATGTTTCTTGCTGTTCAGTTCACATTAGTTGGTGTGGCACAGTGACTAAAGCTCAGGATTGAGCTCATAAGGACCTGGCCATGATCTATAGTATTCTCTTAGTACCCTTGAGCAAGACATTTAACCCAAGGTTGCTCCAATTCCATTGTCTCCATAATAGGTGTATGCAATAGGCATGGCTCCAGAGTCTTTTGTAATCGGCCACAGGGAGCTCAGAAAATGTGCTAACCAGCTTTTTGGAGATGTTCACCACTTGTTTCCTCTTTCCTCAAGCCTGATGATCCATAAACTCTGCAAGACTTTGCAGTTGTTGTACCAAAGAAAAGGCAACATAGCACCCTAAAGACCGTAAATCAGTTTCTCATTTGATGAAGACGTTTGAGAGGTTGTTCCTGATCTATTAGACCAATGTTCCCAACCTTGATCTTGGAGTACCCCTAATAGTGCACATTTTGAATGTATCCCTTAAATCAGACATATCCATTTCAGGTATTGAAGGACATACGGGATAGGTGAAGTGGAGATATAACAAATTGCTTAGAGGTTTGAATAAATTTGTTTGTTAGCCCTGCAATGGACTTTTTCTACTTTTTTTTGGCCTGAAATGCTGATATAGCCTCCAGGACCCTACATAGGGCATCAGTTTGGAAAATGGAAATGGATGATTTTTTTGTACAATATGTCTGTGCACACTCTACATTCATTTGTCTGCAGTGCGGTATCTGAGTACATTTTGACTGTTCTGAAGCTTCTTGCTGAGAAGAAAAAAAAAAGAGAACATTGGCAAAAATGCACTATGTTTTTCTTTTTGTCCTGAAGAATCTGTATGCTTGTCTTTTTGAAAATGAGCTTAATGAGCTTGCTGCAGAAACACTAGATTCCTCTCTCAATATCTGTTGATAATGTAACCAGTTTGACAGATGAGCACCCAGTGCTTCCAGACACACGGGGAAAGCTCAAATTAGAGTTAAAGTTTAGTGCAGTCCTTACTATACAAAGCGCGTCCATTATTGCGAGCAGGCTTTTAGAAAAGATCTTCCAGTGTTTTTCTGGCTAGTAATTTTTTATGATTTTTCTAAACTCTTGGGTCTGCTAAAGCAACAACACCAGCTCAAGTGAGACCTGAACACTTTATTGACTTTTATTTAGCAGCAACACATTTAATTGATCAAATGATTGTAAAATAAATTTTCTAACAAAAATAAGAAACCAATACGCAAGCAAGCATTATATGCATTTTATGCTTTTATAGTGACTACTAAGTGACTTTCTCTACATGTGCATGCTATAATCATGTTTCCATTCATATGAAAGATATACTATAAATTATGGACTATAGTAGAAATACATTTATTTTTCAAGGCACATAATGGCGTGTGCGTTTATCCTTGTATGTTTTTATGTTATCTGTGTGTGTTAATGTTCATTCAGTTATTCAGCTTTGAACAGTCTGTTTTTCATACTGAAAGGATATTCTTCAGCAACTTTACCAAAAGGGAGAGAGGAACAGATTGGCTCACTGTTCTTGGATATTTATTTCCCTGCAGAGATGTCTTACTCTCTCTGCACCTGCTCTATGTACAAATCGACAGCCGTTTCTCTTTCTGAAACCTCCAGCTGGCAGCTTAGCACAATAAACATGAAAACATTGGTGGAAGTAAAAATAATGATCAATTATTTATCGCCTCCATACAGATCACATATATTTTATCGAATAAACATTTCCGTGGTTCTGAATTTGTCTATGTGGAGTGAAGCTTCAGTTGGACTTCTTGGGCTGTGAACTTTGTTTGACATTAAAGGAATAGTTTAATCCCCCCAAAAATGAAAATTCTGCCATCATTTATGTCATTTCAAACCTGCATGATAAAGAAATCACCAATATCCAAAGAGCACCACAAAAAGTAGTCCATACTAACTCATGTGTTAAATTACCAGCTATTTTTGTGAAAGTGATTTTGTAAAATTATTATGCTATGTAAAAATCTACACTACCGTTCAAACGTTTGGGGTCATGAAGATATTAAAAATATTAGCATGTATTACCAGTATTACCAAATCAGCATATTAGAACGATTTCTGAAGGATCATGTGACACTGAAGACTGAAACAATGGCACGGAAATAAATTGCATAATTTTTGTATGAATTATCCCTTATAAAGGCAGTTTGGTGCATTCATTTGAAATAAGCCTTAAAGTTGTTCATGTAAGTGGGAGTTCATTGTTTTTGATAGCTGAGATGCGATTACTCTGGGCCTGGTTGTGGGTTGAAATCATCTGTGAGTGATGTCTCCTGAAGTCTATTGACATCCCATCACTCTATCTTTGCAGTATTTGTGTTAATGTTAAGGTACACTTCACAAAGGTCTTGGGCACTACCAGTGGCTTTTGATTTCACGTGTCATTATTATCCTTAATAAAAGCCACATTTGTGACTGTTTGACATAAAATCACATGCAAATTGTAATTTATTCTGCTGCAAAGTGAAAGCAAACATACCATTTAATTAATGCAGAGCCTTCCATCCTAATGACAACCCCCTAGGGATTTGAAGAAGCTATTTGCAGACCAATTTGATTCATATAGATATTATAATTATTAGATATTTTAAGTATTGGACAGTTGTACTTTTAAAGAACTAATTTACATTTAAAGAATTTACAAATTGTAATTCTGAGAGTGAAGTTAATGGGACCTTTTAACTGAAATGTCAATATATATATATATACAATTTTATCCATCAAGCATGCATCAATTTAATGAATGCTTGATGGATAAAAGTATTAATTTACTTAGCCCAAATTGAAATTGGTATTATAGTAGTAATACAGCATTAAAAAAAAAAAATCAAAGGATGTCCCCAAACAGTTCCACAAAGGTCTGGGCTAAACCTCAAATATCCACTGACCGTAGAGCCGGCCATGTGAGCTTTCATCTTATGTGTCTGCTTAATACCTTGTTTTTCTTACACACTCTCTCTCCCTCTGTCATTTTCTCTCTGTTCCTTCTTTTTGATAGCTGTGTGGTGGATGAGATGGATTTCTCGGGGATGGAGTTGGATGAGGCTCTGAGGAAGTTTCAGGCTCATATCCGTGTGCAAGGCGAAGCGCAGAAAGTGGAGAGACTGATAGAGGCATTCAGGTGAGACTCCAGACACCGTTACACACACACATCAATGCTCCAGCCACCTTCATATGTGAGGGGAAGATAAGAGCTGGGGTTGATGGGATACCTGTGCTTATGAACTTTTTCATCCCTGCACTGAAGGATAAAAATGCACGCTGAATGCTCTCCATAAATCGCATTCTCAAGGAATACAGCGCTGTATTACATTGAAGTAAAGGATTAGTTTGAAAAGCAGTTGGGTAGTTGACATGAAACATTTTTGGAAATGTATGTGCAGAGTAACATAAACTTTAAAAATGTTTTTTGCATGCGACTTTAATTAGCTCATATAAATTGAAAAACTATATTTGTAGATTTATTGTCTGTCACACTGCAGGACCATTTTAAATTAACTAGTGAAAGCAAAAAAA